ATATTTTTGAAAATAGGTGAAATAATGTTTGTATTGTTCTATCGTAATTATAATATTTTATGAAAACATGTCTTAAAACAATACAATAATAAATTAACATAATAATAACTGAGTCAATATAGTGTTAAGCAAAAATACTGTAGCGTAAATTAGGTAAAAAAATATACACAATTTTTTATAATTAAATGATATTTCTTATTAAGTAAAGCCTATTTTTTTTGGAAACAGTACAAATTGAAGCATCACGATCATTATAGTACAAGATAAAATAAAGCTTGTTTACTTGGCTCRGCATAATATCATACATATTATGTAGTTATACATCTATATTCTATATCTATTGATATCGTGTTCTTAGAAATTAATAAATTATCAATAAAAAAGTGGAACTAAAATTCATCAAAATTCAAAACTTGTACACTTTTACATTAAACAAACCACACGAGTTGTTACCAATAATGCATGCAACATACCTATAGTATTGTAAAATATCACAGTGCCAGCAGGTTTTTATATTTTACTGTTGGATATCGGACGAATAAAATTATTATAACAAGTGTTTTAGAAATAATTATTATTTGTTAATAATATTAAAATAATACATTTAGGCATACTAGGATATAATATTTCATTGGACGATCGCCGATAATGTAATATCACACGTTTTGTATTCAGGTACAAGCTAGAAGATTAAAGTTTCATAAAACGTTCTTGTGACATAAGACAAACCACTATTGCGATCTTATCAAATTATACAACAAAATATACCAAGTTGAATGGAACTAGGAAGCAGCATAATAAATTAATAATAAGTTATAAAACACTGTCTGCTCAATTATTATACTATATGTACGTGAAATGTGGAATGGATTACAGTTACTGAGTAGGTATTTCAGTATCTGCGGCGTAGGTAGTGCAGTTCAGAATAAACGATGATAACATTTCGAAACCGATAACTGATGATTTTCCTCGACAACAAAAGATTCTCGATGGCATTCGGTGTCGTAATCGCATGCGATATTCGGCTCGAACAAACAATTCAACGCATAAGAAGATGAATTCCACTAAAGTCTTTTTCCCCACAGCAAGCAAATCGACAACAACTGTTGACGACCTTGCACCGTGTCTATTACGTTATTATTTAATCAGACCTGCTCGTCACGTCATCAACACCGTCGTCGTCGTCGTCGTTATTAATTGTTAACGCATCGAATTAATTAACCATAGTATATTATACTGTGTATTGTCCGAAATACTATAGATATTATAAGCAGGTACACATTACACATATTATCTATCTACATTCAATAGGTTTAGGACGGACCGACGGAACGTACCCTATTGTGTTGTTATATATGTTATTATTTTGTTTCTTATACATTTAAATTTATCCTTCGTCATTTGCGAATCATACATAATATTGTAATTTTTAATATAGGTTTATAATTTAATCGACACAGGTTAAGATTGTTTTTTAGTTCTTGAAAGTATTTCTTGTTATGTTTATTTATTCAATTGTTGTTTTTGAAAATAATTATACTGGTATTTAAATAACCGTTTGATTGTAAAAAATGTGTATATTTACCACTAAGATATTTTATTTCTAAGATTTTAAAATCATATTTCACACCTAAAACAACGCTTTTCATTTAAAATTTGATATTAAATACCTACACGATACCACGCTATGCAATGACTAATTGATTACTTATTAAGATAACTTTTTATTTATTTGTACATAATATAGCCATAACATTATAGTTAGATACTTATTTTATATCTTATTAATTTATTCACGCGTCCTAAATTTATTACAACTAATGTGCACTAGATAGATACTAGATATAGGACCATTACCTAAAGTATAGGTGCATTTATGTCGTTTTATATATGTAACCTAACCTAACCTGTCCAAATTGTATTTTATGTAATAATCATATGACTGCTTAGTTAACTTGGGAGAAGTTAGAAAAATAAAACATAAATTATGTTAAAAAGAATAAAATATTTTTTAATTTTTATTTTACCTATATGGTTATATTATTGTTTTTCCAAAGTATCTCTGTTTAATGGTATTCTTTTAGTGKACCTAGTGTTTATTAAAATTAATAGCCAAATAGTTATGTAAAATTACATAATCATCATACTTAAAAAAAATTAATTTGATGACAATGATTTCAAGTAGATAATGAGGTAAAAATGTTATGTTAATGGCATTTGAAATCAATTGAAATTCGAATGATATGATTTTATAGATACGTTAATACATTTGTCTATAATCCCCATTATAACTATTAACTACAAACTTTCAACTTTTAACTATATCGTTAAAATTATGAAAAATCATTATACTTAWTATTTGCACATAATATGGGTACATGGGAAAAACTCATCATATCATAATCAGTAATTCAAATTTATACTCTAAAAGTTAAAACTCACCCATTGTCCATTATTACACTCTAATAAAGTAATAAATGATAAGCTACTCAATAATCACTTCTCATGAAACTTAATTCCGGCTGAAGTATCATGATAATAACTGTTCTGATTTTGATTTTACAAATATGAAATCATAACTAAAATCATATTTTTTTTTTAACATCAAAATAATACAAATCCACAGTATTTGTTTTAATCCTATGATGTTTTAATAAAATTAAGTATCGTAATAAATGGTACCTCGGATGAATGGTAAAATGATAAATCTATTATAATACAATAATACTTATTAGTTATTAAAGTCTCACTATAGACACTATCTAGGTATATTATATATATACCTAGATTGTTTAAGAAAATATAATGGTTAAAATCATTATATATATTTAGTTTATGATTCTGATTCAACTCTCAAGCATGAACTATTAGCAATTGCTTAAATCTGTAATCAATCACAAGTGTGTACACCAAAGTAGATCTTTCTATTGGTTGAAATATTGGGTCCTAGTCCTATCCCCTCCAAAAAAAAAAATACACAGCTTTTTAATGAGTGAGATTGAAACCCTCCGCTCAAATTGTGAAGATAAATGTTAGCCCTTCCCCCGAAATGTCTGCTCATGGATGTATCCATATCAAATAATATAAAAAATAYATCCAGGATCGAAACAAATTCCACATATCCGAACAAATCTGCCAAGCACTGAGACCAAACCTACATGACATAACAACCTAATTATATTCTTAAAAAAATAAAATTGTATAATTTAATTATAATAATAATGTAAATAACACCTATTATAACAAAATGTATCCTAGTGACCTTAGTTTCGATGTATAAAATGATCAATGAAAAAAAAATAATAATAATTCTATCTCAGTGAATAGGGTATACAGAAATAAAACCCAAAATTATAGTATTATAAATAATATGGTAAATCAACGTTTCCCAAACACTTGTTTGAGCTGGCCCGGTAATTAATATTTTTCCACTTCGTGACCTACCATAATACGACGAATGTCATACGAGTTTTTMATGAAGTCCTCTAGACTCTGGTTGATGATCTCAATAATATTATATATGTTGTAAATAGGTAATAGTTATTCGAATTAATGAATTTATTTTTGTTAAAAAGTTCAAATTATCAAATGAAATGATAAATGACAAAATGTAATACATAATATAGATATACTATAATATAGTATTATACCTATTGTATGTCTATATCTRTATTTTAGAGTACATATCTTTCGTAACTCGTAAGTCATAAGTGGCATGTATTGTAGATGTACTTATCGTGTATACGTGTAGGTATATAGGTACTACCTACTCATGGCTTAATAACATATTATAGGTATTTGTTTTGTGGCCGTTGTAGTATTACACTATTACCTTTATGACTATATAATACATAACACTATATAGGTACACATTGCTACATTAGTAAATCATATTTGTATATTGAATATTAATTATAGTCAGTAAAACAAAAAGTTAAAATTTGTAAATATTGTGTGCACAGTTCTCTGAATATTCGTCTATATTATAATTTGTTTATATGTATTTTAATTTTAAAATGTGTGTCAACTATTGTTACCGTCACGTCTACAAAATATCAAAATTGAATAAAGTGACAAGAATTATAAAACAAATTTTCAATTTAATAAATGTATGTTATGATTAAAAAATTAAATATACAATGGGTAGTTATATTTTCGTAGTACAAATAGTAACTAAATCATATCCGGTTCATAATAATTTACATAATTTAAATATTGACGGTATCATTTAAAATAATTTAGTTTTTCTATAYTGATAAAAATTAATTAAACAGAACTATTTTAAATATTGCATATTTCCAATTAATTATAAATCAATGTTATAATATTTATTTTACATTTTAAATTGCCTTAAGTAAATGATATATAAAAACCATGTCATTTATCATATTGAGAGTAGAGTTGTAATTTTGTAGAGACTTAATTATAATATTTCTACTCGTTATCCATTGAATACTTGAATGATTGAGAGAAACTGTTGATATATATATATATATATATATGTTGGTTTTGACTATTAATACAATAATTGGTACCTACTGTTGATAAGTATTTACAGAAAATGTTAAATGGATAAATACGTAGATAGGTTTAATTGTATGAATATAATTTTTTTTTGGAAAATCATTATGTTACCACCTKGTTATCTCCAACTTATCGACTTTTCCTTATAATAATATGCACTTTTGCATTTACATTAACCACAATATATAATGTTTTCTGGACACATAGGAATAGACGGCTATGAAAGGGCAGACAAACAAGCTAAACTTGCTATCCGCTCAAATGACACAAAACACATCAACATTTCATTGTACACTGAAATAAAAAAACAGATAAAACAAAACACAACATCCATATGGTAAAACATATGGAACACACAAACAAACAAACTGAACCAAATTTAAAAAAAAAAAACTGCAAATAGATGGAAAAGAAATCCAAACATAAGTATTGTAAACGTTAAAAATCAGAATCGGGTCAGAATTGGACACACAAGAATGACACATGGATATTTGATGGCAAAAGGCGACCCACCAATTACAATTAAACACGTCATCTTCGAAGAATGCAAAATACATGAAAAACTAAACATAAGCCATGATATCGGAATAAGTCTTAGTTCAAATCCTAGAGAACAAAGTAAACATCATACATTTTTTCAAAGCAACACAAATTCTCCAATTACTATAAGATTTTAAAACGAACAACTGTAATTGTTCATTTTTATTTTATTTTTTTTATACATGTTGTATAAAATGTATACATATGAATATATTTTTCTTTTTTATAGTATAATATTAAATGTAATGTTAATGGCCTCAGATGTTGAAGCAGAAATTGTTAATAATTTCAAGATCAATAAAAAAAAAAACACGTTTGGTGGCTTGGTGTGACGCGTGGTTGTACGCTCAATCTGCGAAAATGCACTGAGCATATGACCGGCTGCTGTTGCTAGCTTCCGGATGGGTGACCACCAGCTGGATTTCTAGCAACAAATCCTTCAATCCTTGCCACGCATACACAAACACGTGTTACAACCCTACCAACTCAAAAACTTATAAACAAAAATATACCAAAATAACCCCCACCGTTTCACCCCATATCCAATGGCTTAATGTTTCYGTGGGTTCCCCTCTCCAAAAAAACACGTTTGTATRAGATAATTATTGATATCATTACATGGTGGTTATWGAAGATAACTGAGAGATAAAATAATGAAAATACAGGTTTTACTATTTTAAAAACACGAGCACATAATATTATTATCACTAGATAATTATTTTTCTAATAATAGTAAAATACCTGCGTTAATTAAAAATAATAACAAAACAACTTCGTAACAAAAAAATAATCTTGTTATTTAAACTTGCATGATTCAGCGGTATTTGAAATTTCTTTATATATTTTTTTTAAACAATACATAACATATTAATATTTTTAATTTGCTAATATTAAATTGTTTGTCTATTTATATATGTATTATATATTATATATTATAATAAAAATATTTTATATAAGTATCTATAATAAATTATATTTAGTAGTAATAATAATAATAATATGTTTCTCCTGTGATTGAAAACGGTACTAGTAGGGATTACCTACCGACCTACCATAAACTTATGCTAATATTTAATAATCTAATATTTTCCGACTAAAAAATAAAATATGATCTATATTATGATCTGTTCCCAACATTATTTAATTTGAAATATAATTTTTAGATTCTGATTGGAGCGAGGAATGTATTWATTTTTTTATAAGTAGGAGAAAAGCATGTACGCTGATGGAATGTCAGTTTAATTGTATTATAAATATTATTATAATTATTCAAATTGTAATCTATATATTCGACATTTTTTAAGTGGTAATTCGTAGTGATTAATTGGTTCATTAATTCTAGCATTTGTTGCTATCATTAGGATTAAACGTTGATGATGTTATTTGCTTT